TTGTGCCTTAATCATTGACTTGATTCCGTCCACACGTTCAAGGTCTTCAGGGTCAAATGCTCGACTATTCGTTGATTTCAGATCAAGTTTTGGCCGTCTAAGCAGTCCTTTCTCGTTGGCCGTCAATGATTCGAATTCGTCGCGTAAACGACGCAAGAGTTTACGGTATGCGGATTTACAGCTGACTCGAAGTTTACTGGTGGTGACATGGGTATTCATTGTGCTCAATCTACCGAATTATATTTACCGTATCCTGACGCATGTTATCGAAATTGATAATCAGGTAAACATAGTCTGACGGCAGTTGTTGACATATACGCAGATCTCATTTGGGCACTTATCATTGGAAGTGCAGTTTTTAGGTTATCTACACAAAATACCATTCCTTCTATGAATCACAAATGTGAATTAATTTAGAGAATTGCACTGAATAATGAATGATTCAGAGAGGTGGTATAACAGTTTAGAAATTGAATTCAGTAAGATGAATGATGGAAACAGCAGAGGATTCAGCCAAAAAGAACCAATAATGTGCTGAGAATGGTAATGAATTCAGCCAAAAATTATCGATAAAGTATCATTGTTTTCAGAGTGTTGGTATGCGACAAATCAGTTTATTTGTGCATATTCTTCTGTACACACATCATGCGCTCCTGTTTTATTTGTACATTTTCTACAGTCCTCAAATGAAGAAAAGACTTCTACCAACCGCTCTGAAATTGCTTGAATGTTATTGCTTGAAGCCATCTGCTGAAGTGTCCGATCATACTTGATGTGCTCTGGACAACAGAACACAATTAATTTATTCATTCTGACTTGTTAAATTGTTTATTCACGTTGTTTTGGGTATTGTTGACGAAGAATCAGATCTGAATTTTGATGATTTTTGTTCAAATTACAACGATTTCATTGTTATTTATTTATTTATTTATTTGTGTGATAATGAATCTACTTACAAATATTAATGATCGTACCTTATGGCTACTACCAATATAACACCCACAGTCCGGAATGAAGACTGAAACAAGATTATACCAAAGAAAGATTTCGAAGCAAATTTTACATCAAATTGGTTTAACATTGACTTTTTGATCAGAGTATTGGATTGTCTCCATTTGATTAGAGTACTAAAACAATTGAACTGTCTCTATTGAGATGGCCATTGTAAAAATCGCTTGGAGTCTGTTGTGAGCTGCAAAAATTAAATGTGATCTAAGGAGATCAACAAGAATGTCAANTGAAGCTTCATTCTAGACGTTTGGTGTTATCATGTGAAATGGAACATATTGTTCTTCGTATTATTGTAAACACCACATGATTATTGTCATATGCTGTTGTAAGTTCTGTTAAAATACCGCATAAAACATTTGTGATATCGTGGAGTGTATCTATATTTAAATAAAACATTATGTATGCAGATCCAACTCGCAATTATTGTTTGTATCATTTTATCATTAATCACGAGAATTTTTTAAAATTATCGCTCAAGAATAGCAATTAGTCCAGTTATTCCACAAATGCAAAACATCTCATTGTCAGTGCAACACCATAAAATAGCCGTTTACAGTGTCAAAATTAAGCTTTTGCATAATCATACGGCTGAAATTGTTCAGTAGCTGGAAATCGCTCGCAACAACACTGCTCTCGAGAAGCTGATCGTGAGGAGAAAAGGAAATCCGCGAATGCTGTTCCATTCATATGGTAACTGACGAGACCTTATCAAAAAATCCAGCATGTTCATTGATGATTCGGCAACGTGCTCACCGATTCAGCACATAAAATGCAGTATAATCCAGACATCATTTGTTGTCTTTTGTATCTACGAAAGAAGCTTTGTTTCAGTGGATATCTCGAAACCTATCTTCAGTATCTTCTACGTTAGCGTTTATCGTTTCAGTCGCATTCATGTATTTCGTTTAGAAATATTTAATGTTTTCCGGAATTTTGAGTATCTCTACGATATGAATTCATCAATCATTCGAATGCATAAGCTCATTAGGATTCAAAAATTCCATCTAGTTTAACGTCTCGATTCCGTGACCATCTTCATCAATATTCAGCCACAATTTCCTTAATGATATTCTTTCCTTCGCAGCCGTCATTAACCATTTTTCCAAT